GGGGGGGGGGCTGCTCGAAAAGGAGATGTGCCAAGGCTGGGAGGCAAGGCCTGTTTGATGTGTAACATGCGTTTGGTTACCAACCTGTGGGTTTGAGTCCACAGAGCTCAGACCCTGGTCCTGAATACACTAATTCTGTGTCGACTTCCTGATAGCCATCTGTGTTTTTCTGCATGAAACGGTTTCCAGTGTGAATAATAAAGCGCGGAAAGTGCCACCAAAGCTGGATTGGTATGTTATTCAAATACACGGCTGCTGATATTTCTGTCTACTCTGGATTCTTCCCTCTTTCCTTCGATAAGACTTGAATAATATTATTGTAAGATAATATCTTTTCGGAAATAGAACAGGCCAATTTAACAATGCATTCATTCTTTGAACTTCCTGGGCTGTATACAGAGAGAATGCAGCAACTCTTGTGTTCTCTTGGGGATGCAGATTCTGTCCATATCTACATAATTTAATTCCAAGTACATATGTTATAACACTTTACTGAGGACTGGGAGTGTCTCCTTGTCGGGTTTAAACCAAGAACCTTCAAGCCACAAGCTTGAAGCATCCTTCCAAGTGCCAAACCACACTGTGGTCACGGTTATGCCAAGACGGGCTCGGTGTCAGAGATGTCACTCAGCCCCGAGCTCTGTGTCCCTATGTGTAACTGAGCGCGTGGCTCATCTTATAAAAGGGAATGGAGTCCATAGAGAGGCTGCGGAATTACCCTGCGGTCAGCACCAGCGCAGAGCTGTCGCATGCAGTTCTCCGCAGAAGCCCACAGACCGCCTGAGTACAGGGTACACAGTAATTGATAGCCTTGTGTTTAGAAGGGCTCTAAGATCACTGAACTGTGTAGCTCACAGGCACAGGCTTCCCACGTGCCGGCACCGACTCAAAGCCGGGAACCGCGGTGCGTGGCGACATTTCCACTGGCCGGCCGGCCCCTGGGAGCCGATATGGCAGAAGAGGGAGAGCTGAGCATAAAAGGCTACGGCACTGCGTTCAGTCGGAAAGGGTGATGCACGCCGTGGGCGGCTGCTCTCTGCCTGCAGAGGTCTGAGATGGTTCCACTGGCCAAAGACACTTTCCTTTGCTGTTATTGGCTGGCACTCTCCATAACGGGCCCAAACCAAAACAAATGCTCTTCTAGATATTTTCCCCATCAGCAGGTCCTGGAACATTACATATTGACTTGATTATTGCCTGGATGTGCATTCTTCCACTTTTCCTAGAGTGAGTTTGAAGAAATCGCAGCCCCCCCACCCCCCATCCTCTGATCTTTTGTAAAATCAACCATAAATCAAACTGCCATTTTTTAATGCCAATATTTTGATTTGGGTTTTTATTTCCCTGACATTACAAATGCAAAACAAGAAAAAACGTCTGCTTTTGCCGTTTCCTCTTGAGATCAGTCCCAGAGATCAGCTGCATTAACAGGGACACCATGGAGACAATCTGCTGTTAAGAGACAATCAGCCTGTTTAGTTTAGGAAATCAGAAACTGGGTGGTTTTTAAAGTCACTGTATAAGGTTTCTACTGTAAAGCATTTAAGGGTGTGAACAAAATGTGTATAGTGAAGAATATGCTCATATTTTAATTACAAAAAACTTTGTCGTTGGCATCATTGTCGTTTGTAGTTCCCGTTTGTAGTTTCAGGCCCGTATTGAGTGACTGGACAACACTGTCATTTGAAAGCCGCCCGTTCTTTATTAATCTACCTCGGTTACGTTGTTAGAAATTAGAGGTCACTATAGTTCACTGTTGCAGCACCAATTTGGCCCTTTTATGCCGAGATTATTTCTGTTTTGTGATTTTCCCCCCACTCCAGGTATCTCGTTATTTAATCTAAAAATAAACATTTCCACAACGAGATGGCAGTATTTTGTATACATTTTTTCTCCCACCTCTGGGACGATTTCTGCGGACTTCGCCGGGGTGAATCTTCGCGGTGGTTGATTCAGAGAAATCGCCCGATTTAGATGCAAATGAGCGGAAAGCGGCGGTCATTCAGGCTGCTATTTATAACAGTGTTAAGACGGCGGACTTACTGACATCAGCGGCGCTTATTAACATTCAGGGGGCCGCGCTGACGGCTGCTCTGGGGGTTGATCATCCGAGCACGGCTCCGCGTATGTATGCAGTGGAAAGAGACCTCGGAGATTAACTTCAAACCCTCGCACGCTTGCGATTTTTATTACTGATTAGAAAGGCAAGCTAAAAAAATGCCGATCGTGGAGGACAAGTCTGGATTGCTCACGGTGGATAGCAAGAAGTGTTTTTAGAAGTGTATGGAAGCAAGAGAGTGCATTTGTGTCGCTGTAAAGGGTGATCGCTAAAGCGGCCAGGTTGGCGGAGAGTGGAAGTGGTTTGGAGGCGGAATAAGGAGCGTTTCTTTGGGGCGTGAGGCTCTTGCGGGGACTTCATGTTTGCTCTGAGGTCTGACAAAGGCTCGGCCCGACACGGTAGAGAAGCGGCTGGTTGCGCCGTAAGGACGGGGACTGCGGCTGAGATGGTCGGCGGCGGAATAAGGGACGCATTTTAAGAAATAATTAACATTCGAGGACCCGCTCTCCTTTTCCGGTACATCCAAAGTAAGACGTGGGAATTTTGACCGTAAACGTTGCATGTGATTTACTCCACATCTGCCAGTAGGCTACATACACACGATTGAAACATGATTTTCTTGAAATGTAGTGCGCAGTTTAAAAATAAAAAATTTAAAAGGGACGCTTTAAGTGTAGTGAGACTGTACTGTACCATCGATGCATGGTTATTTTGCCTTTCTTTGCCAGGGTTCGCAATTAAAGGAGCCCCGTTTGCATGATATTTGTGCAATATTTTTATCCAGTGTTTTATTAATCACGGATGTGCTTGCAGGACGCTACTTTCCTAAAGGTTGTATATTGTTTTCCCATATCAATTGTTTGTTTTTTAAGCTAAATATGTGCATTTTGGACCGTGTAAGAAAGCAATCAAACTTGTCTTTGAATGCTCCAGAGTCCCCTAGTGCCTGGGTTTTAACAGTAATGCGAAGCGGTTGCCGCTTTGCTTGATAGTTTGGTGCTGGGTGCAGTTTCGTGTTCGTGCAAAGCTAAAGCTCTCGGTTTATGCGTGTTTTTCCTTGTGTACCATGTATGACCCGTGTTAATCGGATCAGCAGATGCGCCTCTGCTGTATATATTGCGCTGGACGACCATCTCAGTAATAGAATAAAGAGAACACTGGATTATATTTAATTTATTTTTTAAAAATGGGAGATGGGTGTATAATCCGTAACGGTGATATGTATTTATTGTGAAAACATTAACTTAATATCGGTGTTTTTCCCGTTTGCCGACTCTGCGTCCATGGCTCACCCGGACTGCAGCCTTGATTCCCAGTGGTAACGCGCGGATACGGTACCCGCAGTTTAGTGCGTCAGTGAACCCCGCACAAAACACAAAACCTTACCTTGTACGTCGCCCGGGTGTGATTAATCTTTATTTTAAAGCTAATTTCAAACTGAATGGATGACATGGGCGCTGCAAAGTGAAGTTCTTCAGCAGAAAATGTCTGCTTCTGTTGATGATGCAAGCACACGAGTAGTCCGCAGTACCGGTATCATTCAAAAGCCTGTCGGATTAAGCATGACAGCAAATATTGTTCTTATAACAAACTGGGTAATTGCTATATTCTAATCTGTTATCGATGCAACAGATGTTAACGATTGTCTCACCAGTATTTAGTTGTGCGGCATTTTATTTTTCCTTGTGTGACATTAGTTTGCACAGGTGCCTGTGAGTTATGCAGCGAGTGTCAGGGCTGTGATTTATTGCAGCGCGCGAACAATGCCCCTATCTTAATATACCGGCGTCCCGGTCCGGCACGCCGCTCGCTAATGAGCCGCAGTTAGGGAGCTGCCTTGAGACTTTATGGTGCTGCCATCTCCCTGAAGCTCTAACTGCGCTTCTGACACATTTTATTAAGTGAAAAACCCAATTACGGGCGGCAGACGCTCTGTGGATGTTGTCCGCTTACTATGCTGAGCCGCTAATTGCGCTCTCTTCCCCCATATCATGACAATGAAAGGGAAGAAAGTATTAATGTCGCTTGTTCTTTTATTTGTTTTAGTTTTTGCTGGTGAGTTGAAGCTCTCATTCTGGAAAATGCTTACGGTCTTCTGCGCGTGGTCTATGAGACGCTCCCTAGCCGCAAGGCTGATTTTTCAAAAATACCATTATTTATCATTGTTTTTTTTAAGAACCCATATCAGACCCGCTCCTCGTCCTGGCGGCCCTCCTACATTTGTCGTGGGTAATTCAGCCACATGTGCCCCGGTTCGCGGGGGGGGGGGGGTGGTTAAGTTGGCTGTTCAAAGCAGACCTCTTCTTTTTTCCCCCTGAGATGAAATGATACCGGTTCCGTGATTCTACGCCAGCACGCGGCTGAGGGCGGATCTGAGTCCGCTGTTGCTGGGCTGTTTTAGCGACGCGCGCAGTGATTAACGGCACGCGCTGAATGGATCCCAGCTTCCCATTCGGTCCACATGCATCCCAGTCAGAAGGATCCCTTCAGGCGCCCCCAGCCCCAGGGTGACGACTTTAATCCCTTCCCCATCCTTCCCTCCCCTTTCATTTTCCACTCTACAAATATAAGAAAGAAAAGGATTCGCTTATCCAGCCCAGCAGCCTTGCTTAATTGACATACCGCTGACTTCAAGGACTTGAAGGGACCCAGATATCCACAGGAGATTCTGGTTCTGCGTGTTACGCGGTAAATGGAAAGTGAACACAGATTCTCTCTTCCCCAAGTGTGTCCCGGCCGTAGCCACGTTCTCAGGCGGCGTCCCGGTGTCCCTATATCACATGACCTGTCACCTCCCGGGTTCTGGAGTAGAGGTGTGGGTTTCTCCTTCGCCCCGCTGCAGACGGTAGGCTGGAAGGCAGAGAGCGGCCCACGTTCCAGTAGCTATATTTAGCCCCGCATCTGCAGGCTCGCGTTTCCTCCCCCCGAGTCGGAGTGGCGTGCAGACGCTCATACAGGACCAGATCTGGCCCATCTTTGTTTACGTGGCCCGACTCGTGGGGCGCAAAGCGAGGTGTAGACGCGTCCCCGTAATCAGGCATGCAGGAATGACCGCGTGAAGCCTGACTCCTGAGTGGTGTAATGAGAGAACCCTACTGCCCCCCCCCCTCCCCCCATCTGGGGTGTCAGGATGTTGATTATTTTGTCCTGTGGCCAGGTTGGATCACAGTCATGAATATTAATGGCCCAGATTGTTGCTCATTCGGTATTAATTGATTTTTTTTTTCCTTCTTCTTTGTAATAATCATTCTTTCAGTCTCGTGCTTTCCCGCGAGGCACGGTAGACAAATGGCCTCCCTCTGGGGACAACCCTATTCCGGGGGGGGGCCTGGGTGAGATCCGAGGGGCGGGTCACAACCTCAGTGCTGAAACCGCCTCGTGCATAAGTGCGGGGGTGAGGCCCTGCTTCATTTCGCGGGTCCCCGGCCGATAACGTCAGTCCTACTTTTCTTATCTGCTCAATCGTGTTGGTAAGAATGCATGTTATCTGCAGACATGATTCCGACAGCCTGGTTCCTCTGCCTCCATTATCGTCACATGGAAAGACTCCCTTTGCTTTTGCCCACGGGGTATCCCTCAGCACCCCCGGCCGTCTGAGGGCCCAAAGTGGTAATGAGGTTTGTCGTAAGCAGGCAGCTTGTTTTCGCAGCAGGACGCCAGGGAGGTTAAGGGATCTGACTGGTTCACGCGCTCTGCTCCTCGACAAGAGGTCTGCAGTCTCTCAGCCCCGGCGGGGGGGTAGGTTTGTGAGCTTCAGCCACCTAAATACTAACCAGATGCAGGCAGCCTGTTTGCTTGTCTGTGTGCGTGTTTGTCTGCGTTTGTGTGTGTCTGCGCGTTTGTATGTGTGCATGTCTGTGTTTGTGTGTGTGTGCATGTTTGTGCATGTGCGCTTGTCTGTGTGTGTGCTTGTGTGTGCATGTCTGCATGAGTCTGTGTGTGTGCATGAGTCTGTGTGTGTGCATGAGTCTGTGTGCATGTCTGCATGAGTCTGTGTGTGTTTTCTGTTTGCCCCAAAAGGAGGACATGGAGAATGCTGCCTGCGTACTGCTGTGTAACTCACGCATTCAGTGAGGAGGGAAGGTGGTCTCTCCTAACACTGGTGTTGTTTGCTGAACACAGCGGAGCCGGAAGCCTCGACAGCTTTCTGGGAAACCAGAAACATCCACGTTTTCATTTTCTGGCCGGGTGTTTTGGTTCGCTCTTGGCGATAGATATTTGTCTTTGTTGTGAAATCTGCATAATCAAGATCTGTCATGTGAAGAGGATTCTAACCCTACAAAGGAGCTCGTTTTAACTATGTGGGTTTTTTCCTTTATAAATCGGAAAAGCACTATGAATACTGTCCTGGTCCTCACCAAACACACGTAATTAGTTCGATAAATCACTGTCCCCGTTTTATTTTGTTTAAGTCTAAGGGGTTGAGATATCAGTGACATTCGACCACGGAGAATCATTGACTGAGAAGCTGTAAGAAAGGGATCCTGTGTAACCTGTGACACCCGGGAGTACAGCTTATATCACACAAAAGAAGCATGACACTGAGGGCAAATATTTCCCTCCGTCCCTTTAATAAGTGTGAGGTATTTTTGGCTGCTAGCCAAGTACCTCACTGCCAAGAATGTGTTTATAGGTCCACGTGTCAGCGTCTCCTATTGGCTGGCTTCTGGCATGACTCCTCCCCCTTTCTCTCTGTCCATTAGGAAGATCTGCCTCCATTGTAAGTGTCCACGGGAGGAGCATGCAGTCGCCGTGATGCCCCTAGAGATGGAGAAGACGGTCACCAAGCTGATGTACGATTTCCAGAGGAACTCTACGTCCGACGACGACTCAGGGTGTGCTTTGGAGGAATACGCCTGGGTGCCTCCGGGGCTTAAACCAGAACAGGTAATACCACTGACTAGTCCCTTAAACCCACCCATGGGGGCTCGTGGTTTAGAGAGGTCAGCCCCCCCCCACCCCTCGTCAATTCAGACTAAATGGCCTTTCCATTTGAGAAATCCTCACTAGGTTTATGTGCTCGTTTTATTTTTGCAATATAGTTTCCTTGTAGAATGATAAGTGTTACTGAAATGTTTTGTTCCTGACACAGTGGAAATAAAAATAGCTAGTGCTTGGTTCTAGAATGTGTTTCCTTGTTTGAATTGTGGCAATTTCTATGAACCATATTTCACTGACCAGAAAAATGTATTTGTAGAGAGATTTGATTAAGAACCTGGAGGTGGTATTTTACAAATAAATTAGCTGTCTGGTAGGTAGATGATTTACTAGTCTTGTGAAACTGGGGGGATATTTCCCAATAAACTCGCTGTTCGTTAAGTGGAGGATTTACTGGTCATTTTGTGAAATGCCAGCAGAACGTGGCCTTTCTACCGAAGGTCACAGATGAGCTTAGATGCCAGTTACTCAGTTGGGGTCCCAGAGAAACTGGCCTTTTCCAGTGAGAGCTGTACTGAGCTCCCAGTCTGGCTATAAATGTTGGTATGAATGGATAAACTGGTCACTGAGGCAAATTTGTCCAACTGGAATTGTTCAGTAGAGTTTACGTTTCAGGTTCCCGGGGATATTGCATCTTACAAAGACCGTAAGTAATCTGATATGAAAATTGAGGTGCCTTTTCAGACTGCAGGGTCATTGTTAGAATGAAGGCATCACTTTGTAAATAACGCCAAGGCTCCTCTGCCCTCAACATTGTTCACTGTAGACACGTGTCGGGACCGTGGAGATAGAGCTGTTGGGAGTGCCGTCGATTCACAGGCACGTCCATGATGTCCGCTGCCTGGGTGCTGGGACACCGCAGTACAGCTGTCACAGTGTCTTGTCTTTTGGAAAGCATGGATGAGCTCATGGCCTTCATACTTAATCACTGTGCACACATCAGCTGGGAGGAGACTATGGTTGTATGACTCTAGCCTTCAGCCTTCACAATGTGAACTTACCTACTGGTTTGCCTCTTGCTATTGAAAATACAATCATTCACATGCATGGTTATTCGCTTCTTAGGGACACTGCAGACCTGGATGGGTTTACTTGACCAGCCCTGAGCGGCTCTTTCTGTTTCATGCAAACTCCTTCATGTGATCTTCTCCAGAACGTTCTTTCCATAAGACTCCAGCAGTGGGAAGGTGCTGCCTTGGCGTGCCCTACCTAAGGAGTTCTCCCCATCAGTCGGATCCGACCAGGTCTCCTTGTAGGGTCGGAGGTTTGGTCCAAGTTGGGTCATTTCTCACACCAATGTGCTCTAGAGAGATGATCTCGGGTTCAGGCTGGCAAGGGGCTCTATTTGAGCTGGGGGTCGGCTTGCTGTATTGCGCTTATTTTCCCCCACAGCTGTGCCTGACGGCATCCCGGGTATTTGAGTTCTCAAATGTTTCATAGAATGGGACGTTTGGCGATGGTCTCGGTCCGGCTGTTACTGCTGGATGTGGTTAATTGTTATTTATCAACCCCTGACCACAACCACACATTTATGAAGCTTTGAGGAATCCCTCAGTGCAATCTGAAATCCCTCCAGTGGTTCTGAAGCCAGTTAAATCAGGTCAGAAACATTCGATCCCATTTAAGTTCATACTGTAAGCACATGTTCCAAACATTAATTTCCATTGCATCGACTGACCGAAGATCAAGCTCTCTGCTCTTATTAGCCCAAATGAACCACAGACATCCATCATGCCTCCATTTTGCCTTTTAGTGAAGGTCTAGGTCCATGATGACCATTATATATCAGTAGATGATTCAGGAGGAGCCACATGTAGAATAATGAAATCTGTTCTTGCTTGAGAACAGAATCGAGTACCGACGCATTCTCCAGCCTGGCTGTTCTGATTCTGCCAGATTGTTCCTGGCACATTCCTCTTGGGTAAGGCGCCCAAGATCATGTTAATTTGAAACAGAGCTGGCTGGCAGACTGCATGTGTAGCCACTGGTGCCCCCCCGCCTCCCATCCTTCACATTTTAAATGGGCACCCGTGCTCTGGGAGGGCTTCTCGGATTGTCTCTACGATCTTCCTCCTCTAAAATCATTACCCGTCTTTTCTTTTGCTGATCTTACCCAGCCATGATGGTCAGTCACTTTGTGGGACTTTGTGCCCTTGGGTTTTGGATTATTTTGTTTGTGGACCCGAGCCCCTTGTGGAAGCTGGACAGGGCTGAGCGTCCCGAGGTCAGGACATGCACTCAGCCTGCTATCGGGCTGCACCAGACACCTTCCAATCAGGGTCGAGAAATGCTCAGGTGACTCTGACGGGGGGCGAGAGCGCAGCAGCCAGGCAAACGCCCTTAGACCCTGAGGTGCAACTTGGCGCCATCCCTCCCCGGCCCGCGGGTTCCGGACCGGCTTCGTCTGACGAGGCCCTGCTCTGCTCCCTGTCACCCAGGTCCACCAATATTACAGCTCATTTCCGGAAGAGAAGGTTCCGTATGTGAACAGCGCTGGAGAGAAGCACCGCATCAAACAGCTCCTGCATCAGCTGCCCCCGCATGACAATGAGGTGAGTGCAGCTCCCACTGCCTGCAGAAAGCCTGAGACGCCGCATGCTTGCTCGTCGGGCGCTCGCTAACATGGCCCATTTGTGTACTAGTTTGCCGCAAGTCTCCAGGGGATTTAGGTTTGTAGACGTGTGTTGTGTAATCTGAAAAAAAATTAGCATTACCATCATTCCATTAGCGTATATTAGCATATTTGCCGGCCCTCTGGTAAATGCCTTTTGCTTATTTCAGTGTGCCGCATTAAGGATTTATGAAATGTATTTTCAGAATGAGACTAATTCAGTTGAGAAGAATACTGTGTGTGTGTGTGTGTGTGTGTGTTCTGGCACTGTGGGGACCATTTTTTCAGTCCTCACAAGGGGACACACAACTTTATAAAAATCTGTGATTGCAATCAAAAAACTAGTAATGCCAAAAGTTTTGTATTTTGTTTAGTTACTTATGGTTAGGGCTGGGTTAGGGGTTAAGGTTGTCATAGTTGGGATTAGGGTTTTTCCCATGGAAATGAATGGAGAGTCCCCACAAAGACACAGGGCACTTTCACACTGAAGTTCTGGAACTTGATTCCTGGGCCGTCTTCACCAGGGACTTTTGTAGCTCCTGGCTGCTTTCAGGCGTTACTTTCACTCCACAGGAACTGGGACTTTTACACTAAATAAGCAGGAGAGACGCGAAAAGCTCGTAGGTTAAACTTCACACACGATTTCATACGAAACGACACAGCCACCCCCAAAACAACGGCGGATGAAGAAGTCTTTTCATTAGTTATTTGTTAGCTATTGGGAGGATTGATCACAATCAAAATAGGACGCAGCCTGTTATATGTATTTTATTTATACAACCCGTGACATGTTTATATTTCATTATTAAATATGGCTGGTAGATCGATCCATAGAATAAAAAACAATGTAATATTATTCTGCTAATAAGCGCTGGCAAGTATTACTGGCACCAGTGATGTTAGACAAGTCTACTGGTTATCAATTACGTTACATCGTCTCAAAGCGCTTTACAGCATCCCCACCCAAAGCCCCCGGTGAGCAAGCCTGGGGCGACAGTGGCAAGGAAAAACTCCCTAGAAGGAAGAAACCTTGGGAGGAAACAGACTCAAAGGGGGAGCCCATCCTCCAGGGGCCGGCAGAGGAAGTCAAATGGGCAAGATGGCAAAATCCCAATTCTCACTGTCCAAATTTTAACATTTGAATCTCAAAGCGGGCAGGCAGGTACTGGTGCTGCTTCAGATGACAAGATGACCAGTGGTACAGCAGCAGGTTATACAGGGAAGACGTCACAGGTAGATGGGCAAGCAGGCCGGAAAGACGCCATAGGTAGTGGAGATGTCACAGGCAGTGGGGTAAACAGGATATCTTGATAATTTGGGGTCTCCAGGCAGCACACCCTAGGAGGGGTAGGGGGTAGGGGAAATAAAATGTGCAATTAGCCAAAGTAGCGGAGACTAGAGACAGTGCAAACACTTAGGTGAGTGCAGTAAGAAAGCTCCGGCAGATAAGGCTATGGCAGCATAAGTAGGAGGGAGGTGGGAACGCAGGCATGGGGAGTCCCTGAAATGTCAGCTCTCCAATTCCACAAGGGATTGTGAAGCTAGAGTGACAGACTGACAGTTCAGCTCATCTAAAACCAATGGCACCGATCCCCACCCAGCTCTACGCCTCACACTATAGGTCAAACTGGGAGTGAGGAGTTAGCTAGAGTTAGAACTAGAGTCCCTATAGGCTAAACTAAACAGGTGTGTTTTAAGTGTATACTCGAATATTGAGAGTAAGCCTGAATCCCGCACATCTGCTGGGAGACTATTCCACAGCTTTGGAGCTCTGTAAGAGAAAGCTCTGCAGCCTGCCGTAGCTCTTTCTACCCTGGGTACTAATAGATATCCTGCTCCGTGAGATCGAAGAAAGCGAGGAGAGCTGTATGAGGCCAGAAGATCTCTACGGCATTCTGCTGCAAGGCCATTCAGTGCTTTATAAGTTAATAGCAGTATTTTGTAGTCAATCCAAGACTTAACTGGAAGCCAGTGAAGGAAGCATAGAGCAGGGCTAATATGATCAAATTTTTTAATGTCTATAAGAACTCTGGCTGCTGCGTTTCATACCAGCTGAAAGTTATTTAAAGATCCAGGTGAGCACCCAGAAAGGAGGGCATTACAGTAGGGAAGTTATAACGGCATTTATTAGTTTCTCTGCATCATGAAAGAAGAGCATCTTCCAAAGCTTGGCTATGTTCTGTAGATAGTAGAACACAGTTCTAGTGATACTTCTTATGTGAGCATCGAAACGTAGATCTGAATCAACCAGGACACTAAGATCTCTGACCACTGTGTTGGGCTGTGTTCGTAAGAAGACCACCAAGTTTGAGGCTGTCAAGCTAATTTCGAGCAGCCTTGGGACCAAGTAGCAGTACTTTTTTCTGTTTTTAACATAAGGATTTTTTTTCCATCCAATACCGGATATCTAGTAGACAGTCTTCTAACCCTGAGAACTGGGATGCATCATCTGGCTTAACATATATAACAAAACAGCATATATATATAACTGTGCATCATCAGCATAACAATGAAACCCAACACCATGGTTTCTAATAATGTTACCAAGAGGTAGCATATATAAAGTGAACAGTAGTTGGCCCAGTACTGATCCCTGTGGGACACCATGTTTGACTTTGGTGGGCTTGAAAGATTCATTGTTCGCATGGGCACACTGATAGCGATCAGTTAAATGAGAGTGTAACCAAGAGAAGGCTGTCTCCTTAATGCCAACCACAGATTCTAGCCAATAGGATATTATGGTCCACAGTATCGAATGCATTTAGATCTGGTAACACCAACAAAGGTATACAGCCACAGTCAGAAGCCAGAAGCAAATCATTCACTACTTTGACTGAAGCTGTGTCTGTGCTGTGGTTTGGTCTAAAGCCAGACTGATATCATTCCTTAGCATTATTTTTTGGTAAGAAAGAAGACAGCTAATGAACAGCAGCTTTTTCCAGGATCTTTGAAATGAAAGGAAGATTTGAGAAAGGTCTATAATTTCCTAAATCACTAGGTTCAAGATTTGGTTTCTTTAGAACAGGTCTAATAACAGCTATTTTAAAAGGTTTTGGAACATATCCAAGCCTAAGAGACAAGTGTAACACATTTAACAGGGTAGTGTTAATCAGTGGTGAATCTCCTTGAGGAATTTAGTAGGAATTGGGTCTAGGCTAGTAGAGGATTTGCAGGAGGAAACTAAGTTTAAAAGTTCTGATTGTTTCATAGGAAAGAAAGATTCAAAGGTGACTAGCAGAAGGCTTGTAGTGGTACATAGCTACAGACGTGCACTGGATGGTCTGTCTAATCCTAGTTATTTTACCATTAAAATGTAATATAGTCATCACACTTAAGAACTTGTGGGACTTGTAAGTTTAGTTTTGAAGAATTCTGTGTTAAGCTAAACACAGATTCAAACAAGAATTTAGGATTGATTTTGTTCTCTTCTACTAATCTGGAGTGAGACACAGACCTAGCAGTCACTAGTGCTTGTCTGTATTTTGAGAGGTTCTCTTTCCAGGCTGATCTGAGAACTTCTAGTTTAGTTGAGCACCACTTGCTCTCTAGCTTGCGTGAAATGTTGAGATGCAAACAAAACTGTATCCAGCGATGCATTTAATCTAATTGAAGTACAAAAATAATTCCATCTGCTCAATTTTTTTTACCCCGGTGCTTGTGGTCAACCAATCAGCAAGCTGTTGCTGTAAGCACCTCTCCAGTAGATCATATTCGAATGTAGGAACTAGAAACGGGTCCTGGAACTGCCTTTGAGGAACTGCAATCAAGCCGACTCCTTGAGGTGTGAATGCGACAAAAGCTCCTGGCTCTAGAAAATGGTTCTGGTTCCTGAAATAAGTTCTTGCAATGTGGAAGCACCCATAGATACCTAATTTGTGCATTTGTGTATGTAAATGAAATGAAGCTTTATTTTCCATTTGCACAATTACAGGCACATAGGAAATCCTTTAGTTTTCACATATCCAATCATGCTCTCTTTTGAGAATGAAGCTTGGGCTCCAGGCGCAGGGTCAGCCGTTTATCTGGCACCTCCGCAGCATGGGGGGGGGATTGTTCAGGGTCTCACTCAAAGGCTCAATAGGGATGTGACTATTCTGCTGAGGTTGGGATGTGTGTGAGTTCCCCGGTTTAACAGCAGAAACAGGGTGTCTTGGCATGACCATGTTTGTTACACGCCGCTGGCACACTGTTCCAACACGCCTCCCACTGTTCTCAGGTGCGCTACTGCAACTCCCTGGACGACGAGGAGAAGCGGGAACTCAAGCTGTTCAGCAGCCAGCGCAAGAGGGAGAACCTGGGGCGGGGGAACGTCAGGCCCTTCCCGGTGACCATGACAGGGACAGTCTGTGAGCAGGTGGGGGCCCTGATCAGGGGACTCGCCTGGGACCGGCACACGGCGGGGGGGGGGGGTCATTTTGACTGTTGGGTTTTTGGATATACAGTGGATACAAAAAGTGTCCACACCACTATTAAAATGCCAGGTATTTGTGATGTAAAAAGACACCACGATAAATCATTTCAAAACTTTTCTCACCTTTAATGTGACCTACAACCTGTAAAATTAATTGAAAAACAAACAGTGGTGTTTGGAGCAGTTGCTTCCGTTGGATAACCCTGTCTCCCCCTGTCTTGGTCTCTCAGTGCGGCGGGCAGATTAACGGTGGCGATATCGCCGTGTTTGCATCACGGGCCGGCCACGGCGTCTGCTGGCACCCCCACTGCTTCGTGTGCAGCACATGCGATGAGCTGCTGGTTGACCTCATCTACTTCTACCAGGACGGCAAGATTTTTTGCGGCCGGCACCATGCAGAGAGGCTAAAGCCACGCTGCTCTGCCTGCGACGAGGTGGGTCTTAGGGCCTGGGGGAGTCTAGAGCGGACAAACCGGGAACTGGCATGTCTCAGCTCCCTCGGCCGGAAACCTTGGCAACAAGCCTATGCAGCAGTAATGGGTCATTTTCATGAATACATTTCCAGATACAGCAAAAGCTGTCATGTCCGGTATTCAACTAATCGGTGCAGTCGAGTAACTGTTAATACTCTAAAACAGGGGTTCTTAATGGACCCCCAAGGGGGGTACATCAATGGGTCTTAGGGGGTCCATGACCATTAATTTTGCAAGAAAGAGTAAGAAACATATTTTTGTTCAGATTGTTTGTTTATTCATGTTTTGTGCATGTCATGCACTGTATGAGCGTATGAGACAAAGTACAATGAAATGTATTCATTGCACACAAAATTGAGTTCATGTGCTTATGTGCATATTTCAGGGAGGGCAGCCGTAGCTTACACCAGATTCAAAAAGGGGTCCATGACTCAAGAAAGGTTTAAGAACCAAAGTTCTAAAACATTCGTATAAACAATAAAAATTAATAATAGTTAATAGTACTGTTCTATTAAAAATTGACACTAAACTAAAAATAAAGCATTGTGCAATTCTCTCAAATATCTGACTGTCAGTGACCTTGTAGCATGTTAAAAAAACAGTACAATAATCATTGTCTGTAAAAAATAATAATAATAATAATAATAATAATAATAATAAAAAAGACTTAAGTTAGTGTAAGAAATGTGTTATGGTTCAATGTTCATTAAGAGTAACATTCAGCTGTCCTGAAAATTGAACTATCCAGCAGTGCTTTGGTCCCAGTGTTGCTGGATGTGACACCTTTTACTGTGATGCCAAAGGTGGTGACTATGGGAGACTTGGATTCGATTGTTTATGTAATTATTATTAGCATTAGGTGGTATGTTAATACATCTGTGTTGTTTATGTTGCCGTAATATGATTGCTGGTGGCTGTGACACCATATACACCTGGAACTGAATCTGTTTAGCTTTGAGCAAAGGAGACTATGGGGGGATATGATTCAGGTCTATAAGATT